GGGGCCCCCCAGGGGGGCCCCCAGGGGGGCCCCCGGGGGGCCCCCCGGGGGGGCCCCCTGGGGGGCCCCCGGGGGGGCCCCCGGGGGACGGAAAGGGTCCCAGGGGGGCCCCTCGGGGGCCCCCAAGAGCTGGCGGAGAGAAGAGTGGACTGGCTTTGTGCAGAAGACCCAAGAGTCTTTTCCCTGCTGCAGCGGCTCGACAATCTGCAGCAAACGGGGGTGGCGGAGGCGCTGCAGCAGCAGCGCGTCTTGCTGCAGCAGCTCGCGCTGCTGCTGCAGCAGCTGCTGCTGCAGCAGCGGGCCCTCAGCTGGCAGCGCAGCAAACTCCGGGGCCTTCAAGTTGCAGGCAAACAGAGACACGGAGTCCCCCGGCCGGTCGATGTGGTGGCCGCTGTAAACCTGCAGCAGCAGCAGCAGCAGCAGCAGCAGCAGCAGCAGCAGCAGCAGCAGCGAAGACAGGAAGCAGTTTGCAAACGGGGGCGAGGAAGACGGACGCTGCTGCTGCTGCTGCTGCTGCGGCGGAGCTCAGCTGCGAACGGAGTGGTCTCTGCGGTGCACGTCCACACGGGTGCAGCAGCAGCAGCAGCAGCAGCAGCAGCAGCAGCAAGCGTACTGTCCATCTGCTGTGCCGGGTGCCCCTGATGATCGGTTCGCGGTCGACATGGTACTGCTTGAGGAGGGGGTTCCCCATGTGTGCGTGGGCTGGGGTGTACGTACACCTGAGGCGCGGGAGGCCCTGCTGCTGCTGCTGCTGCTGCTGCAGCAAAAGCCAAGTTCAAAGGGCCCTCGAGACGGCTGCAGCTCTGGGGGGGGCCCCAGTGCATGCGCAGGGCTCCATAAATGCTGCTGCGGGCGGCGGGCGGGTTTTGCTGCAGCAGCTGCAGCAGCGGCAGCAGCTGGCTGCGGACTCTGCCCGAGACCTCCGCGGGAATCCGCGCCGCCGGAGCTCCGCAGCAGCGAAATTGAGAAACTAATAAGGAAAAAAAGATAGGAGAAAGAAAGAAAAGTGTTGGAAGTGAAAGTGAGGCGAAGAGGAGCCAGCGGCGGACCCGGCGAGGCTACGAGCTGCATGTACACCTCAGCGGCGCGGCAAATCGAGCAGCAGCAGCAGATAATGCCTTTGACTCCAACGGACTTGCAAAAACAAGAAAATTAAATGTTTATTTGATTAAAAAGGACTATTATTTGCGGCTTTCTGGCGAATTACCGCGGGGCTTTGCGGGAAACCGCCGCCAAGTCGCCAGCATGCGCGGACTTCGTCGCCAGAGGCTGCCAACTTGAACGCCCGCGATCTTCTAGGAAAGCGCCGGCGAACTTGCGTTTTTATTTTATTTTTGAATTAAGTTTGAAGAGTTCTTTCGAATGATGTGACTTTTGTGGCTTTTAAATATCTTTTTCGCCAACTTCCGCAGCAGCGCCCCTCCGCAGACACCCCAGCCGCGCAGCCGCAGCAGCCTGGCGGCGTTTCCCGACTTTCTTGTCGGATTGCAGAACTTAAAAACTTTTAAACACTTTTATTTTAATTTATTTTCAAGTTTTCAGCCCATTGAAGCTGCAAACGACGGAAAAGGCTCGCCGGCGCTGAGGCCTGCGGGTGCCTCTTGGGGGAGTCTGCAGCTGCCAGCTCCTCGCAGCTAAATCCGCCTTCAGCCCGCTGCAGCAGCAGCAGCAGCAGCAGCAGCAAAAACCCGCAGCAGCTGCTGCTGCTTCTTCTGCTGCTGCTGCGCCTCTGCTGCTGGACTTAGAGCGGGCGCTGCTGCGCTTTGCTGCGCTGCGCTGCTGCTGTGCGGGCAGCTGCTGCAGCAGGAGCTCGTTGGTCGAAAAGGACTTCTTTTGAATTTCTTTTTGCGTTTTGCTGCTCCGTTTTGTCGAGAAAAGGGAAATTAAAAAGAATTAATTCAAGAACTGATCCGAGACTTCCAAGTTTCCCTAAAATCGAGTCAGTACAGCACAAGTTGACTTTAATTTGCTGCAGTGTTCAACTTGGTGGAATTTTGAGGTGTACGTACACCTGAACGGGTCGGCTGCGGCGCCCTCGTGCGGAGCAGCAGTTCAGATTCATTCAAATGTTTAATTGTAAATTTAATTCCCAATTTATTTATTTAATTCCCAATTTATTATTTAATTCCCAATTTATTTATTTAATTCCCAATTTATTTATTTAATTCGAAGTTGCCGGCGCGAATTTTCGCTTCCGGGGTCGCCCACGTTCAGGTGTATGTACACCTGCGGCTGCTCAGGTGTCTAGACACCGCAAGCAGCCGCACTTGCAACGAGCGAATTGCAAAAGGATATTCATTTATAGTTGCTTTTACTTCTTTAAATGTTCAAAAAATAATAATTTTAATTTGCAAATAAAAAAATTAATTCAAAGAAAATAATTCGACAAATTTCCACTTTCCAAAGTTCAACTTTCAGGTGTATGTGCAGCTCCGCGCGCCGCATGCATGACCTCGACTTTGACACATCAGATGAATCCCAACGAGTTGATCATTTAATTAATTAAATAAAATTTAATTAATTATTATTTATTTATTTATTTATTAGGTTTAATAGCTGGCTGCAGCAGAATAGCATTAAATGGAGTCAACTGCTGCTTTGCTGCTGCAGCAAATTCATCTTAGGCAATTCCATGGAGAGTCTGGGGCCCCTTCCTGCAGTGTCTGTGTCTGGGGTGGTTTCGAAGTTAATAAAAAACAAAATAAAAGCATTTAAAGAAGCAAAAAGGGCAAAGAGAGCAGCGGGAGGCTCGCAGCAGCAGCAGCAGCTGCTGCAGCAGCAGCTGCAGCAGCAGCGGAAACTCTGGGTGCAGCTCTATGAAGACCTTCAAGACGACGGCATCAGATGTGATGTCTGCGCCAACTCAGACACAGCTGCAGTACGTGCTGCTGCTGCTGCTGCTGCTGCTGCTGCTGCTGCTGCTGCTGCTGCTGCTCTGGGTTTCGGTGGCCGGGTAGGCCTTAGTGCTGCTGCGGTTGTGGTCTTTGGCGCCTTTGCGGCTGCTGCGGCCGCTTTGCTGCTGCTGCTGCAGCGCAGCAGCAGCAGCAGCAGCAGCTTGGCAGTGACGCTGCTGCTGCAGGGGTGGCGCGTACCGTGTCTGGCGCGCCCTCCTGGCTGTTGCCGAGGGTTTAGGGTTTAGGGTTTAGGGTTTAGGGTTTAGGGTTTGCTGACAGTAGGGGCCCTCAGCGCTCGCGCGCCGCCGCCTGCGCATTGCGTAGGGTTTGGCGCTGCGAGCCTTGCGGCCCCAGGCCCAGGGCCTAGGGTTTAGGGTTTAGGGTTTAGGGTTTAGGGTTTAGGGTTTAGGGTTTAGGGTTTGCAGGACGACGCGATAGTGTTGTGCGACGGCTGCGACGTGGCCGTGCACCAGAGCTGCTACAGCATCAAACAAGTCCCCGAAGGGGAGTGGTTTTGTGAGTTTTGCAAAACTCAAAAAGCTGCCAAAGTTCACTGCAAACAACTCCAACTGCTGCTCCAAAAAACCCACAAAAGCCCCCAGCAAAAGCAAGGCACGCGCAATTAGGGTTTAGGGTTTAGGGTTTAGGGTTTGGGGTTTAGGGTTTGGGGTTTGGGGTTTGGGGTTTAGGGTTTGGGGTTTAGGGTTTAGGGTTTAGGGTTTGCGGTTTGGGGGCTGGTTTGGGGGTTGGGGTTTGAGGTTTGGGCGGCTTTCTTTGCTGCTTCGGGCGAGGGTTTAGGGTTTGGGGGTTCGCGCGGAGGTGGGGGGGATGCTGTGGAGGGGTCCTAGGGTTTAGGGTTTAGGGTTTAGGGTTTAGGGTTTGCGGCTGCAGCGGAAGCTGCTGCAGTGCTGCAGCAAGCGGAAAGCAACAACATTGATGTCCCTTGTCTTCCGCGCGCCTGCGTGCTTTGCCCCCGCCGCAGCGGGGCTTTAATTCGGACAACTGAAGGCGAGCTAGGGTTTAGGGTTTAGGGTTTAGGGTTTAGGGTTTAGGGTCTAGGGTTTAGGGTTTAGGGTTTGGGGGAGGCGCAGGGTGGGATTAGGGCAGTGGAGGGGTGCCATGAGGGTGGTTTAGGGTTTGTGAGTGTGTTTCCGGGTGCAAACCCTTTTTTAGGGTTTGGTGTTTTGTGGGTAAACCCTGTTTTAGGGTTTGTCTGGTTTGTTGAATATCGGCTTTCCTCCCTTTTGTGCTGTCTCGTTAGAGTAGGGTTATTGTGT